TGAAAACATTGAAGGAAGAAAACCTATGATTAGTAACGGCAATTTGCAAACGCTATCTTTATATCTCGTGACTCATATCCTTGAATTACTCAAACTTGATGTGTGAATTACACTCTTGAAACATCTCACTTGATCAATCTTGAAAAGATTGAATTCCATTATTTATATCAAAATAATAAAACCACGATTCTTGATTAAACGAAAAGATGCTTTATAATACCGATCTTTGAAAACTATACCTTGTGGAATACGTGACTAGATCACAATAGTAAAACTACCCTGACTTGAACATTATGTTTGAACCTCTCTTTGTGAACCACAAAACAATCAATACAATTATGTTATCTTTGAAGATTATTATCGATGATCTTATTGACCAAACAAACTCCGTTATAACCCTGGCAAAGAAATGTATGTGCGACAACCAAAGAAGAAATGACGCCAAAATGATCAAGCTGAATCATTCAAACAAAAATCCAGAAATAACATACGATGTTGGTGTAAGAACTCATATGACTCCTTACTCTTTGAATTCGTGAATTAAATCACATACTGAAGATGTTCTCTTCTTCCCTCGGAACGAGATTAACCATAGTATTACAATCAAAACTGTCGCTATCATGAACGTATCTTGATCAATGAAGAAGGTTGAATACGACAAGACATATATGAAACGCCACTCGAATGTTATCACCAGTGGATGCAAACAGATGCAAAGACTCATTATTGATAATGAAGTTGATGAAGAAATGCTTTGATAATAAGATCGATGATGACAAGTACTTCCTCACAAATGATGATGAGTCCCATATTCTGAACCAACACAAGCCATTTGATGTTATTTACAAGTCATTGCTAAACTATGTGAATGATGAGAAGATACCCTGAGTGACTTGAGAGGTTACGCTACGACGTATGAATTAAAACAAACTCGAAATCGCCAACTATACCTATCGTGAATGTGATGATTTGAAACTGCAAATGCTAATAAAAGACCTCCAAGCAAAGGAGG